ATGACGCTCTGTATACGATTTTAACGCCCTATAAGTTCGGACACTTTTTAGTGCGAACCCGACGTCCATATAATTGTAAGGCAATGTCTGTCATACAAATATGCGTACCAATAGATAGCATCGTGTGTTACAAACTTCCTAATATGGGTAGATGGCGATAATCCTAAACAAAATAAAAGAACAGCTGGCACTGTACTTAAAAATATATGCAATAAGCGTCATCTAGTTTCCTTGTTTGTTATCACTAGAAATTAGACTGGCTTTGATAAATAGCAGCTTGTTAATGTAAAACAAATTTAGTTACAAATACAGCTATTTGGTACTCATCTAATATATTACGCTGTCTTGAATCGCAATTAGCAGTCCTCTCGAGTTATTGATCCATGGTACTGTCAAAGTAAACAGGTGACATATCGTGTAAATTGCCATATACACGACCCTACAATAAAGAAAGATTTAGAATGACAAACTTCCTCTTTCAACCCTCCCAAGGTCTTTTACAAATAAGTAATTTATCTGTTAGTTTATAATAATTATTTCTCCGTTTTTTTTCGCTTGCACGCTGTGGCCCGCTTATTACTTTAGCTATCACTGCCTTTGTACCGGGTTCGATTCCCTAGTTTTGTTTTCCCTATGAGGGTAAAAAAATCTAAATTACAATTTAAAATTTGGTACATAAATTTACTACGGGTTTTCCGTTTCCGAGAATGGTACTCCCCTGTATATTTGCCGGCGCAGAAGAAAGGGCCACAGGACGAGGAGCAATTGGTAACCGTTCAGCGGAAATGCTTCGTCCTAGTTCGGACGTAGTCAAGCTCCAGGTGTATAAACCCGAAGGAAACCCAGGAAAGATAGCTTTCCAAGCCGAAGGAAATTTTCAACCCGAAGGTGACAATTGTCCCGAAGGTGACTCCTGCAACGGACAACCAACTGGTAGTAATAGTCCTTTTGCCACCGTTCTGAAAGCCCACCGACAGCAAAAGAGAATTAGGGAAGCACCTACATAGTAGCAATTGCCGGTGACGCGACCAGAACGGAGTTGCAGTTTACAATGTGTAAAAATAGATAAAAAAAGAATTTAGGTAATAAGGCTGAAGGCTGAGATGTTGTCTTATTGTTACAAAAGAATAAAAACTAAATAAGCCAAAGATAACAACGTCTGGTGAAAAAAATACAATTAAATTTGATCGTTACAATTTGAAATTTTGATGATACAATCTTTGAAATTCCTCAAAGCGTATGGTACTGTGGTACAAATTTACGTTGTACATATCTATATAATCGTAGAAAGAGCTGCAATAACGACATAGTACAATTTGGTACAATACAAAACATGAAATTAGCAAATAAAAGCATTACAAGTGTTTTGTGTGTCATTCAACTAACCCTAAAGCGGGATTTTTCACTTTCAAAACTATATAAGTACGTTTAATGTGATTGGAAAGCAATAATCTTAGTTAAAAATAAAATTTTGCACTTATCAAAATACGTTAACGGTTTTTATATCGTGAGCTCGGCCAAGCCGAACGTGGACTAGCTCTGAAGATGTTCTGACGCTGTCTGAAGGCGCCGGTTTCGGTGTTCTACCTAGAGATGAGATTAATTGCTATATTCGCATAGCACACTAAATGCTAAATGCAAAATTTTTATAACACGCTATTTAAAGTGCTAAAATCATAATTTTTAGCAGCTCAAGGCCGTGGGATAATGTAACAAATGGAAAGAAACGTGAAACAGTTGACGTGCGCTAACTTGTTAAGCATCTATGGTCTATCTATAGAATAGTTTACAGTTTTTTATGGTTAGTTACGACCGACTTCATTTGTTTTGTAACTATTACATAATATGGTGGTTCTGTATCGTCTATAACCTGTGTTATTGACGATAAATCGATGAGGTTCCCTTCATACTTTAACAATTTACTATTTACAATTAGCACAAAACTTAACAGTGGTTATTTACAGTAAATTACACTCATAATAAGTAATAATAACGCACACACTCGCGTACTTTTATATACAAATATTACAACGACTTATTAATTAAACAAACGCTGAACTAACTTACTAAATCCATGTACTTAATTATACCCTAATTTAAATCGCTTCACCAGACGAAATTTTGCTAACGTTTCACCATTAGCTCAAAATCGTATTAAAACGTAACCAAAATTATAATTTATAACATAACTACAATTATAATACTTGCTAATTGCTAAATATAGCATTAGCGCTTAGCGTACTCAAGCGTGAAATTTAATCTATAAACCAATCAGCTATTTCGCGTTTCGTACCAAACGTTAAACGCTACAAATAATATGTGAAAGTATTTCAAGTTATAATTGTTTCATCCAATGACAAGAGCCGCAATTTTCACATTGAATATAGTGCCATCTATGAAGTATTAAGGGAGATAACTCAGGACGAAGAAGGATTTTGTTTGTTAGCTGCTTAAGTAGCACTGATAGATTGATGGTATGGCATTGAAATATTGTAAAATTATGTCGCTAGATGGCATTTGCTTTAATTTTCATAACGTACTCCAATCCAAAATGAAAAGAAGTTCGTTATAATTTTAGTACCTTTATGTCTTTCAAATTATAATTGCTATAATTAGTTTTTAATTTAGCGTTATAATTTGAGCTATTATATATGTATACGAAAAAAAACAAGCTACAAATCCCGACTCACTTTGAAAAATAGAACGCATACTTCCCGATGTGGTGGAAAAAAGATATTTATACCGTTGTACGCTGTACGCTGTGGCCGCCATATAAATTTCGAAGCCTTCTATCACGGTAACTATTAGAGGTAGGATATAGGAGGTGCTGGAAGGAATGACATAGAGGGTAGTAGTGGTCAACTTCCTATGTAAAAGAAATTCAAGTTGACGAATCCAAAATGGCGGCCGAAGAAAAACTTGCTTCGATGCGGTTGAGAATTGGCATGCAGGGGTCTTTAGGAGTCCTTAAGCATTTTATTTTTTATTTTTGAGGTCAAAAGTTTTTTTTTCGGCATTTTTTTGACATGGCTGCCACATAAGTGTATTTTTCGTTAAAAATAGCTGTCGAAAGAGACTCGCTCTGTTTCAGCTGAAAATTTACATATGGAGGCCTCTAGAAGTGCCATACAATAATTTGTGCTCGAAATTGGTTTTTCGCCATTTTCAAATATGGCCGCCATACAAGAGTTTGTTGGCAATAGAAAAAAAATTGTTCTGATCCCTTTGAAAATTGGCATGTGAGAGTCTCTAGGAGTGCTTGATAATAATTTGATCAACATTAGTTTATCGTAATTTTTCAATATGGCTGCCATAAAAGTGTTTTTGGCGGCAGATGAAAATGTGCTCTAATTCGATTGAAAATCGGCATGTGGGGATGTCTATGGGTGTTTAACAATAATTTGAAGTCAAAACTTACTTTTTGCCATTTTTTAATATTGCTGCTATGCAAACTTTTTGGCGTCAGATGGAAATTTGCTCTAATTCAGTTGAAAATCGGCATGTGGGGATCTCTATGGGTGTGTAATAATAATTTGCAGTCAAAACTTACTTTTTGCCATTTGTTACTATGACCGCTCTTAAAGAGTCATGGTAATTTTTTTAAAGTCATAAGTACCGAGGCCGTAGGCCGTGGTGTAGCTGAGGGCGAAGCCCGTATCGTCCGCACGCCACCTTACGTAGGTAATATACGGAGACTCTATTACGGTACAAGATTTCTTGATTTAATTATAATCTAGTACAAAAACAATTCAGTTCCAAAAAAATAGTTTCGTAAATACGACGGATTGTCGCACGCATATGTGAAGGTAGACGATTAGCGACTGCATCCCTATTGCATCGCGTTTGCATCGCTGCTCAAAGTCGCCTTGTGTGCTCTTAACGTCTCAATGTCAAGGTCCATCGCTAATCATAATAGTTATACTTCGCCAGGAACAGTTATATAATAAAACAAACTTTGTTTAATCTAAATTAATTTTACTTTCTATTGCACACAATGTTTATTTACCTTATCTAAATCACAGACATTAAATATTATTATACATGCAATATTTTATACAAAGTGTAAATGTATTTCTTTACACGTAGTGTAAGAACGTACACTACGTCCAATTCGTGTCAGGGGGGCTACTCTCGAACACCGTCTGACATCCGTCCGAAACAATTACTGTCAAATAAGTAATATTTGACAAAATTAAAAGACAAGTATCCAGTATGAAGCTTCATTCGCATCACGCGTCTTTTCATTTGGTCAAGTATTGCTTATTTGGCAGTAATTGTTTCGGACGGATGTCGGACAGAGATCTAGAGTAGACCCCCAGTTCCGAATCCGAGAAATGACGGTCCGAAATGTCACAGGGATCATTTTATCTCACACACACACACACACACACACACACAAGCACAAGCGATATTCGTATTTTCTGTTATTCGAATAGGACTTAGTGCACAAGCGACATCGGAAGTGGGTCCGAGTTTTCAAGATTTGTATCCGAATCCGAGAAATGGCGGTGTGAGGTAGTCGTATTAATATTTATGTATATGCGAGATAGAACACTACATCCCAATTGCGTCTTACGAAGTCCCTGTACTACTCAGAATACCCAGGCAAATTAAGAAAGTTCGATTCCCAAATTGTTTCAACCAGGAGTCTCCCTCCTCAACCTCCTCATCTATCGCCCAAAGTGATATCCGCTGAGCCGTCGTTAAAATACTACTTATACGTAATTGTAATTTCAAATCTTGCTTCTTGCTGGCTTTGGTGCTTGCTTTATTTAAGTCAACATGAAGATATACAAATTTAGGACTTATTCTAATTGTGACATAGAGGTGATAAAATACCGTACAATATATATTTGTATGATACTGGTGGTAAGCGACATGCCTATCCATTTTAGGTGCAGTGTCCCACAAAATTTTAAATCGCAGAGACCTGAATGGCACTGCCACTGCACTTACCCTTCAAAACTGGCAATAATGCCAAATAAGTAATGAGAATTACTGCTAGGTGGCAGAAATAGTTGGCAGTTTCTAAACGAACTCTTTGAAAAGAAGCTCTGCTACTACGAAACACTTTACTTTTAAACACATTACTTTCCTTTATTCCCGTCACAAAGTCAATTCATCTTCAGAATTGGCTGTTTTTAGTAAAGCATTATAATCTTCATTTCCAGGTTTCAACCCTTCCTTCCCCATGTAATAAGGAAACCTATGCATAGTAGGCAAGTAATATACACCAGGTTTATCAAATTGCGTCTCTATACCAAAGTAATTGGTCTCATTGCTTTTAAAACAATTGGCAAGCCTAGCATCTTGCACCGTATCACATTTGACAGCCAAAAACTTTTTAGGATGTTCAACCGCTTGCCACCAGTAAAGAACAGATTTCACATGGCTACATACAACGAGGCAAGGAATCCAGATGAAGTCGCCTGGTTGAAATTCCCCTCCGTTTGCGTAGAAGTCTACATGACCCAAAGGTTCTGCAATGCCGAAGCCGTCCATGTTTGTGTGGATCACAGCCACACGTTCGGCGTCCGAAGCGCTGAGGCGCATTTCTGGTGGTAAAGATCTGAAAACACAAAACATAATATAATTAAACAATCATAATAAAGAATAAAACTGTTGATTAAACATCGAATAATCCAGCTGATGTATAAAAAGGTGTGTTGGCTACGGTGTTCTACATTTAAAGAAATTATGTATATTAACTAACCAGGCCATTTTAAATCGAGATATTTAGTTTAAAAGTAAAATACAAAGAAAGGAAAAACGATAGCGTCTTTCTTCATCAAAGGTCTCAGCAAGGTAAAATAAATATACCTGAAGCAAGGTCCAGCAGGATCCAAACCAGTGATTCTAGAAGGTTTCTTCCCAGTGACAGCGTAAAAGTGTTTGGCCGCAAAACCAACGATGTGCGCACCTAGACTGAGCCCCGATAACTCCAAGTCTTCCGCTTTGAGGCCTTGTTGTGTTAGCTTTACCAGAAATTGGCCTAGTTTCTTGCCTATTACGCGTGCTATGCGAGCGGATCTGTAAAAAATTATAAGTAGGTACTTAAGATCGATTCGTACTAATCTGCCAACTATCTCCGTGGCCAAACGTTACCATGCTGGTCTGCCACGCAGAGAAATTTTTGTATGGCCCGCATTTACTTCTCTCGTGAGTTTGGTTAAAATTTGTGGTTGTCTATAGCACCCGCGATACAGAGTTTTACTAGTGCGGCACTAGAAGTGTGCGCGTTATATTAAAAAAAAACGGAATTTTTTTACTTTAAAATATAAATTCTTCAAGTTGAAACTTTCCACTATTAGTTTCTTCCTCGTCAATGCAACTAAAGTTTTTCTGAGGGATAACAATAAAAAAATTAACATTCTTACAGTTAGTATTGTCATCATCAACAACCCATTTATACGTCCCACTGCTGGGCACGGGTCTCCTCTCAGGCGAGGGTCTAGGACATAGTCCGCCACGCTGGCCGCAATGCGGTTGAGGACTTCCGAGTGTTGTGAACTTTCTTCCACGACGTTTTCCTTCACCGGAAAGCTCATGGTAAATTTCAAATTACTCGCACATAAATTTAGATCTAGATTCAAACCCACGGCCTCTGCTTGAAAGGCAGTAGTCGTGTAAAAATGTTAATTCACAGTATACATTAAAATATTTAGATTTTTTTATTTTAGATTAAAAATAGCATTAATAAGATGAATAAACTGACTGTTTCTGACAGTCTTCACAAAGTCAAAAGGGGCAGTATACATCTATAGTAAGATTATAGTTGATATTCAAAATAAAATAACGACAAACACGTTTACATAGAGTGCACTGTTAAGGATAATACAGATTTTATCTACACACATATCATAAATCCTCTATTATGTGTTCAAACACCGCAAATTACGACCAGCATAAAGATAAACTGTTTTGTTAGAACAAGTTTCTCATCTGTGAAAATATTATTATTGCTTCATAATAACATCAAATTCGATTTTATTATTATTATTTTAATTTATTAAGGCTTTGGCAAACCCATCAGCCTAAACATGAAGTTTAATTGTTTCTGTAAAGATGGCCGCCACAAAGGGGATAGGCAATTTGAGGCGGCGTGCTTGGATTGACTCAGGATTCCTTAAAAAGGGCCGATGCGGGTATTTTAGTTCGAGATTCGTATAATTAAGGCACAATAGCACTATCCTATTCCACTTTAAACTAGATTTCACAAAATAATTGAAAGTCAAAATAAAAACGACACTTTTCCCTCCAAAAGTTCCAGAGCGAATGATATGATAATTGGGGCCGACTCTAGTTTGTCTATGAATTAAAAAAAACTACAGTTGCGTGACATGCGTGGGAAAAGTTTTTATTTGCCGCCTTTTCGCCAGTCGTAACATGCGGTTCCTGAACACATCATAGAGAGCTTATAATGTACGTAATTGTACATTATTAGGCATTAAAACACTGGGTATTCTAATGCCCTTCATTATGTAACAGTCACATAAACTACCTACTATTAAGTGACACTTTGTATTAAGCAATAAGTAACGCCTGCACAATAAACAATAAACAAACAATATGACAATAAAATGTCAAATTATTATGAAAATCAAGACGAAAGCATTTTTTATTTATTTATATATTTCAGACCTTAGAATAACAACGCATAGAATGATAGTTTCATATCAAACGAACTGTCACAAGTGAGGCAAAAATCAAATTCATGTAGGCTAGTTTTAGTAGAAGGTTAATTTTCGGTTTTAGAGAATATTTATATAAAAATACAAGTTGAAACGCGTTACTTCCTTGTGGAATGTGATGTTAGTATATATTTTATGTTTCTCTGACGTATTTTTAAACTCATTTACGGCACATTTCGTCGTTTTTAGCTAAAATTCTTGAGCTGTTCGCGGTGCAAGTTGACCTTGAGCATTGAAGGCCCGCCCGCTCGTGTAGGCCCATTGGGAGCACTTCAATTTGTCTCACTTAGCGTGTGCGGACTAGGTTTCTATGCGTTATTATTCTAAGTTTCAGACAACCAATGGCGTTTTCCAAGAGTCGATACTATCTCAGCTCGTATTCAGTTTTTCCCGTGCTAATACGGTTCATTTTGCTTGGGTTATTTTAGAATTTATTTTGTTACAAACGAAATTAAAGCTATTTGAAAAACTTATATCGTGTACTATACGTGTACTCGTCGTGTACGTGTTCCGTGATTCTTTTATTTTTATTTATTTTATTTTATTAGATTTGCCAACAGAAATACACTATTTTACATGAACAAACAATAACATTACATAAAATACTCGAGTGTAAACCCAATAATAGGCAAATACAGCATGCACATATCAGAAGCTCGTGTCAAAAGCATTTTTTGTATGTTACATTACAGACTAATTTAAAGGAAGTTGAATGTTATTACCTATTAAAGTGAGAACACTTTTATTTCTTCTGCGTGTGCCAATGACACGAGAGCCGCCTGTGGGGCAGTAGATGTACTAACACCATTGATTCGCTTAGGGTTATTGCACCGCGAAAGGTTTAAATCTGGACGAACATTTTACATTACTCCGATTTTACATTTAAAGTAAATAAAACTCATGTATGTAGGGTTCCTAACGTGATATTTTCGTCTTTGTCGATCGTTCCGTTCCATCCCGCATTTATATTTTTTTGTAAAATTTCGAAGAAAATTCTTGTTTTTTTCTATCTTGAAAATTTTTACGAATCGTGTTTTCACACCACATAGTAATCAGTTTGTAACCTCAATTTTACTATACATTTTTTCCAAAGTGAATGATCCAACACTTCACTATTATGCGGTATTAACAGGTCGCCCCGTGTTATATAGAAGGTAAGATAAATTTAAACATAGAAAAAGTAACATTTATCCACCAAGAAAAATAAAAGGTATTTCAAAATTAAGTAACAGACGTAACATGATATCTACTAAGCCGGTTTGTCAAATTAAATACAAGAGTCAGTGGGCGCCATCGAGTTTATAACCAGAAATAGAGACGAAGTAAGGGCCATACATAGGAATGAAACTATTTTTCCGGATTTAAATCGCGTATATTTGTTTTTTCAAACAAACCGACGTTTCGGGCCCTTTACAGGTCCCATGGTCACGGTTGACTGAAACGTCGGTTTGTTTGAAAAAACAAATATACGCGATTTAAATCCGGAAAAATAGTTTCATTCCTATGTGTAACAATCGCGAAAACCTAAGAACTCGATAAGGGCCATACATTTCTGGTAACTCATCAGTGATACGTCACTTATAAATATCAACTCTCGTTTGCGCTGAAATATAGACAGCGCCAACAACTGACCTGTGTCTCCGTATATTCCAAAAATATTCTGTATTTATTGTAATAAAGATAATATCTCTAACAATAGCGTGCTGGGGGCCTAATACAACCTCTTAAAACAATGTTACTTTAACCTTATATTGACTTTTCGTACCATAACGCGTTTAAAGTAAGCTTATTGTAATGTTAAAACTATGATGTTTTATTGGCAGCTTTGTGACTATTCATTCACTCAGTTCATACTATGACGCAACTTTAACATTAAAATAATATTGCTCTTATGTCAAATTTAGCAACCTTAAAATAGTTACACGGATGCAATGGAAACAATATTATTTTCAGTTTTATTGTCTTAATATTGATTTGTAATGATTAAAAGTAAAGTTATTTATTTACATATAACTCTTCAATATTTTGTTTATTTTTAAAATAATTGTAACATAACACAGATTTTAGAAAATTTGCAGAATTGTTTCCATGGTAGTTAAAACCAATTACGAAGAACACTCTTCTCTCTTTGCAATCTAGCCTCCAGTCAAGATAAGCTTGCTGAATTTTCAGACAACCGGAATTCGGAATTTAATTACTCTGTCTTTGCTTCTTTGATCCTAGCCATATCTAATTTGATTTCAAAGTATCTTCGTCGTTTGCAAAAGTGTTTTATAATGCAAATTATATAAAGGAAGAACAATCATCAATACAATTACTATAAAGATCGAAGAAAAGCACCTTCGATCTGACAGGATTGTGGCCTTAGATTGGTAAAACGGACAGGTTCGTGTTATGTCCGATCGAAGATTTTTTCTTTTTTATAATAGATACTAAGTGACGGGACGATCAAGTCGTGCGCCTGATGGTACGCGACACGTCTATTCATAACAGTTGCAGTGCCAGTCAGAGCTTTAAATTGCAAAAATCTGTACTAGTATAGTATTATAATTATTATCTTTGCTAGGAATCATATTTATTCAGAGCTTTGGGCACTTGTTAATATTTTTTTTATTTAGGAGCGTGATATTTTTCTAACATACTTAAATCTTTGTAATTTAAAGCTCGGAGTGGCACTGTAACTGTTATACACAGGCGTGTAGTTTACCATCAGGCGACTTGTTCGTCCCGTCATTATAAGTTTAAAAAAGAAAAGATTGTTACACATAGGAAATTAAACTATTTTTCCGGATTTAAATCGTAAAAATAAATAAATAAAAATAAATGTAGGCCATACAAACATTTCTCCCGGCCCGGGAATCGAACCTGGGACCTCTGCTTGGCAGTCCGGCATGGTAACCGTTCGGCCACGGAGGCAGTTAAATATCAAATATCAGTCAAATAAAAAATAAGGTATTTAATTAATAACTTTTGTAAGTACCTATAGTGAAAAAATAAGATGGTTTGCATTAATATTAGACATAACTGGTGGATGACTGTACCACCTTACTCAACCGTGACCACGGGACCTGTAAACGTCCCGAAGCGTTGGTTTGTTTGAAAAAACAAATATACGCGATTTAAATCCGGAAAAATAATAAAATTAATAAAAATAAACATTCGTCCAAGTGTCGCCATCTACAGTTTTAAATATGTACTAAAGTTGATTTTTTACGAATTTAATACCCCATGTTTCTAGTTTCGATCCTGTAAATAGTACTCAACGAGCTACAAAGCAGCTTGCTACAAAGATATAGCTGCCACAGTATATTAAATAGATAACTTTATCAGAAACATTAT